AAACTATTTTCTTTGTCATTGATATCAAATACCACACAAGTCTATTGTCTTAGTAAAAAAAACATTTTTATCTTTTAAGTTACGAGCTAATATTTCAATATATTTGTAAATAAGCTGTAAAGATCTTCTGCGACCAAATTGGAGCCATTTCAATATTTTGATCGTGATTATTATTATTATTATCATCATCATCACCATCATAATCATCACCATTATAATTATAGAATACGTATAGATTTACTAATGAGTACTTATAATATACATATATATGTGTAAGTATGCCTATATTAGAACTGCAATATATATATATATATATATACTATGTTTGTATATATGCATAATGAATAGATTGATGAATGTACATTCTGAATCCAACCTGTTAACAATAGTCAGTCTTATGTTTTTCTTATATCCGTTATGTTTACCTCTCTTTCTTTCTTTCTTTCTTTCTTTCTTTCTTTCTTTCTTTCTCTTTCTCTCTCTCTCTCTCTCTCTCTCTCTCTCTCTCTCAGTGTGCATCTATATAATTTCCGTACTTTTACAATTGTAAACCTTGTTATAAATTGAATTATTTAACATTCTTTATAAATATTACCTCCAAAATGCATAACAAATAAAGCAATTTATAGTAACTGTTAATCTTTATTTAGCTTAACATATTCCATTGGCTTTTTTTTCTTTTTCTTTTTTTCATTTTGAAACATTTCTAAAAAATAATTACCGTTCGGTGAAAAAAAAAGTGATGATGCTATTGCAATATTTATTGGAAAGTGAAGGAAGTAAGAAAGAAAAAACAAGAATCTGGTAATTAAATTTAAAAGAAAAACTACAAGAGCACTGCGTAAAGACAAAAATTAAGATAAAAAAAAAAATCTTGAAAGATGCCTAACAAAGCCTTGTGTTTTAACTGGAACTTCGTTAGGCGTCAATTGAAAATGAACATTTTTTTAAAATATGGATGGATGGATTTAAGATGCTGAAATCAAGATTCACATGCCATAATTTACGTCTATAAATAACTGGAGTGAATTATAGACAACAAAAAAGAAAGAAAAACGATGAAAGGTCTCAGGTTCAGTTCCAAGGCTGATTCGTGTTTCATTTTAAAGATGGCACTTTAAAAAAAACAAAAAACAAAAGAAATTTGAAGACAAAGAGAAAGAAATAAAAAAAAAAAAAAACACTTTTTTCGTAGCGCAGATATTTCAAGTAGTCCGCAATAAAATGTCCAACTATTGGACGTATAAACCATTTCAATATTTTTTTTTTAAAAATAAATTTGTTGAAATATTAAGTATTTTTTTATTTCCAGTACTTTTTTTACGGGTCAGATATTAACTAATGAATTTTTGGTAAGTTTTATCTCTAAAAAGCAATATAGATTTGGACTACTAAACATTATTTATATTATGTTTGAGCTCATACATACTAGGTTAGTTTTACAGCATATTTGTACCAGAGCTAACTCCAGTTACGAAAAAAAAATTATCCTTATAACTAACAGCTGAATAGCTCACGAGGACATTAATAACGATGCATGAGTACCAAAATTGAACTATTCAGTATCTGGTATCCCTGCATTCCTTGCCCGGTGAGCGTAAAACTTATTGAAATTCTCTGTAATAATTGGAACAGGGATGGCCAGGGTTAATACGCCTGCTACGGCACACATTGACCCAATGACCTTTCCCAAAAACCCAACGGGTACACGATCGCCGTACCCCACTGTAGTCATGGTGATGAGAGCCCACCAAAAACCATCAGGAATGCTCTGAATCTGTGAGTCAGGAAGCTCTGTTTCTGCGAAATAGATAGCACTGGAAAAGAGAACGATACAGAAAAACAAGGCGACAAGGAAAAGAAAAAGTCCTTTGAGGCTGGCCTTGAATGTCAACACCAACAGTTGCAGGCCAGCCGAGTGTTTTGTAAGTTTGAAAACTCTAACTAGCCGTATGACCCTGAGGAATGCCAAGCCCGTACTTGACTTGGAAGCTTCACAACTGTTACTGCTTATTACATTTACGAATGTGACATAGTACGGCAGAACGGCCGCTAAGTCGACAAGATTTTTAAAATTCTGAAAAAATTTCCATTTGTTCGGACAAACACAAAAACGTAAACTCACCTCTAACGAAAACCAGATTGTACACACAGTTTCGGTAAAGAAGAACATATCCGGGTATGTCTCGTCTTCATTTTCACCACAATCATTTTTTGAAAAATGAGGAAGTGTCTCTATACAGAACAAAACAATAGACGTCAATGTTAAAAAAACAGATACAATACCGATTACATAGGCCACCACTGATGACTCGGGGTATTCAAGTAATATCCATAATTTCCTTTGGCAAGGTCGCTCAGGTAAAACAATTTTCTCCTCAACATAGCCTTCACATTTTTTGTAATTGGCGATTTGGTCCTTTTCCAGCTCGAAGAATTCAATCTCTGAGAGGAAAATATCGTCCGGAATCGAATCCGGGCGTCGAAGCTTACCGCCACTTTGGTAATAGAAGAATATGGCATCAAAACTCGGTCGGTGACGGTCAAAGAAATACTCCTGTCGGCCCCGGTCGAAATACTTAGCTCTTTTTTGCGGGTTGCCGAGCAGAGTGTCGGGGTGCTGCTCCAGCGTGTCCTTCCAGATCTCATAAACCTGTCCACTGACATTGATGGTGATCCGTTCTCGAAGGAACCGGTACATTTCCAAATAACTGTCCAGGTCGAGGGTACCTGCATCCTCTTCATTTATAAGTTGCAGGAGATAGTTGGAGTCGACAAGGCGCACATCCAACGGAGTGGAGACGTTCGATGATGAAACATTGCAGGACGGTGTACTGTTTGAATTGTGTTTCTCCCACAGGCGTCCCGTCCCATCGCGTTTTCCTTGCGTCCTAGACGCATAATTTGACGTATTGGACACAGATACCACGGCCATGGCGTGTGTGGCTATCAACGCAAGGACGGCACGAGTAACACGCCGACACTGGTCGTAAACAAGGGTGGAAACTATTAGCTGATTACTAACTAGGGCGCCCAACTCACAATTAAAACACAAAGTCGTTTTCTGGTAACGGTGTTTCATATTGTCCACTAGCCTACTAGCAAGTTGGCAGTATATAAGCAGCAGCAGCAGTCTATCGATCTTCTACAGGCTTGCTGTTCTAGCTGCTGCTGCTTCTCTCCAGTCAGCGACTCCATTTTACTCAAGACGATAGTGATGATATAATGCGGCACAGACGCTGTCACTAGATAAACTGCTATTGCTACTGCATAGAAGGTTCGGCACTGCTTTTACTAATATTAAAGACACTGCTACTTGCGTTTTTACAGTTACTACTATTAGTGCTACTTCAACAGAACAATCATTAGTACTGCTTTTGTAGTGTCACAAACGCTACTATTACTACTTATATTATGCCTCGTGTTATTGATGTTGCTTTCAAAGTGATGTAGAATTGGGGAGGAGGTAGATGAATATTTTTTTAAATGAAGGAAAATACAGGAAAAGGAGGAATAATGGCAGTAAATAAGTCCACTAAGAACAGAAGTAAAATCACGAAGTGTTTTTGTGTGTGTATGTGTATGTGACTGTTTTTTTTTTTGTTTGTTTGTTTGTTTTTGTTTTTTTGTTTGCTTCTTATTGCTGTCTTCTTACTCCTGGCATTTATCGAAAAACAAACATAATATGCAGAACCTTCTGGCTAACTATGTGGTCTGAGCCTCACCAGTCAGACATCAAGTGAGACATATTTTGTCTGTGACTGAAGCAAGTACTCAGATGCAGGCCTTAATATTTGTTATGGCAGTAGTAATGCATTATTGTTCTTCTTGTTACAGCAGTGACTCTAGTTTGGACAGTCATCGTTGTCGTCGTAGAAATATTTAAAAAGACAGTGATGTCAGTTTCAGATTCTTTACCTTTCGACTTTCTCTCATGTGCAGAAGTTCTTCTCAAAGAAAAACAAATAGACAAACGAGTATTTACATATGAAGGTAAGAGGAAACAAGCATAGATAGATAGATAGATAGATAGATAGATAGATACATACATACATACATACATACATACATACATACATACATACATACATAATGGACATATTAATATAATAAGCCGAGGAACAGATAGGAACAGACGAACATAGATAGATAGATAGATAGATAGATAGATAGATAGATAGATAGATAGATAGATAGATAGATAGATAGATAGATAGATAGATAGATAGATAGATAGATAGATAGATAGATAATGATCATATTATTATACTAACATACTAAGCTAAGGAATAGATAGGAACAGGCGAACATAGATAGATAGATAATATAGATAGATAGATAGATAGATAGATAGATAGATAGATAGATAGATAGATAGATAGATAGATAGACATTTGGACAGCAATTTTACATTTATGTATATGTTATTAAATACGAAAAAACAAAGAATATTTTGTTAATTTTTTATGTAGTTTCTTTTAATTTCATACAAGAGGATGAATGTTTTGTTCCAAACTATGCTGAAATTATCCATAGATAGATAGGTAGATAGATAGATGCATACTGAAAGACGTAAATGCAAACAAACTGATACCAAAGCCGACAAATATCGCCTTCATACATGGTTAAATATGGCATATAGAGAGTACATTTCAAACCTGATCACAAGCGACGAAAACATTTCGCAGTTTGGAAGTAATCTTAATACTCAAGCACACACACACACACATTCATACATATTTTTGATAGATAGATAGATAGATAGATAAATAGATAGATAGATAGATAGATAGATAATGAACATAATCTAAGGAATAGATAGGAACAGACAAACGTAGATAGATAGATAGATAGATAGATAGATAGATAGATAGATAGATAGATAGATAGATAGATAGGCAGATGGATAGATAGATAGATAACACAATCCAATTATGTCATATATACATTATGTCAGATTTTATTATGCAAGTTGTTTTCACAATAACATTAGCATGAACCAACCAACGATCGTATTTACAAGGTATACACATTCAATTTAAATGGCTATCATTATTTAAAATAATAATTTGGGGTGGGTATCAAATTTTATTATGCGTATAAACATAAGTTAAACATACATATTTATTTAAATAAATCCAAACAATATAAACTGCAGAATTACATATTTGATTAACACTTCATCCTATATACGTGAATAAATTATTCGTTGTTTACATGTTATGGCCTTTTGAGATTGTTCGTCTGTTTTTATTCATTTATTTTGTTAATGCTTCTATCGTTTTCACTTTAACATTCATTGCCCAAAGATCTTCTTTGTTTGAATATTGTCTTCCATTCTCATATACATCTTTTTTAATGATGAATCAAAAGTTTTCTATTGTATTAATGTCTAGAGAGTGTGAAGGCCATTAAGGCCATTCCATAAATATGGTGGCTTTGAAATCTTTTTTTTTTCTTTTTTTTTAGCAAAGTCAAAACTAATAAATATCAAAGATTATTGTTTGTTTGTTTGTTTTTTCACTTAAATGTTCTTGATTGTGATATGTACCATTCAAAACAAACGTCTTGTCCAAAGGCTTAAAAATTCTCTACGTTTATTTGATATCATCATCAACTCTGAAGGGACCTATAATTTTGTGGCCTACAATATTAACCGAAAGCATTGTTTCACTCTACTTATTTTGTTTTCTAAGCCGTATTATCTGAATAATACTATGAATGATCCAACCTCGAGTCCAGTCCACCCAAAGTAAGTTCCACTGGGATAGCTTCTTCCCAAGAACTGATGCTTTGTAGAACAGAATCCCAGGAGTATGCTTTCTCGACCATTACAATTTTAACTTCTTCAAGTCTAAGGTCAACCGTTATCATTCCCACATATCCGCACTTCTTACCTCCTCCTCTTACGTTCATACAACAACCTCATTCATACTCCTGAGAGGATGCTTCCATGATCATTACAATCTTAACCTCTTCAAGTCAAAGGTTAACCATTATCTTTTCTACATATCCTCATAATAAGCACTTCTTACCTCCTCCTCTTGTGTTCATATAATGATCTCATTCATACTCCTGTGAGGATGCTTTCCTGATCGCTACAATCCTAACCTCTTCAAGTCTACAGTAAACTGTTATCTTTCACACATATCCCTATAATCTGCGCCCCTTACTCTTATCGCTCAAACAACAAACACATTCAGTAACATTCTACCTTGAGTGGTTCTTGGGCCTTGTAGAGAGTGAACATCAGTAAAAAGGAACAAAACAAAAATAAAACATTCATCACTAAAAATTAATGTTGGGATTTATTTTCGATGTACTTCTGCTCCGAAATAACATGTTTCTGTAATTGATGTTTACTTTACTACAGATCTAGTCATGCTACATCTGAAGGCTAGACATGTTTGAAATTCAGAAAATTTGGGAGGAAATTTTAAATGACGTTTTTAATCAATTTTGCAGTATAAAAATATTACACTTGCTTCAAAATGTGTTTTCGTGGTAAACTAATCTCATATTCAATATACTCATTAAGTATATTTTAGAAAAATAAACACAATTTACGAGTAAAAAAAATAAATTTTATGCGCAATATATTTGTTGTTGGGAATAATATCATATTAAATTAACTTTATGCGATAAATAAAGACATTTGTTGTTAGGAATAATAATATCGCATTAAATTAGCTTCACGTTATAAATAAAGGGAAAGGCATTTGTTGTTAGAAATAATATCACATTAAACTAACTTCATGCTATAATAAAAACACTTTAAAATATATTTCATCGTGTAAAAACATTATCAAGGAAAAAGTCTTCAGAAGGAAAGTCTATGCTAAGAATTAAACATAACAAAACATTATTAAAACCAAATTTCTTGAGAAAGACTCTTTGAGAAAGACTCTTTGAGAGACTGTGTAACATCTATAAGAAGACGAGAACAATCGGATAAGTAATTTATTTATTAGAGCAAGTAAAATTACACATTTTTCGGTTAGAGTATGCTGCCATGTCTAGATCTTCATTTTCTTTTTCTTTAAATTTGTGGGGTAAAAGGGTTAAAATATAGTAAACTGTAGTAAAAGTTCACATTCCGTTTTTACCGGTTAGAACCAAAAATAAAGAATACACAAAAATGAAAGTATATAATTAATGTATCTGCTTCTATGAATAAAAAAAATTGACAGGGAAGAATATTGAAATAACTTTAAGTGAAAATGACAAATTATAATTAAATGAAAAATGTTAAATTCCAAGTGTCGAAACCAAAATTCCTCAATTACATTTTTTATTGAATTTCACACAAAAATGTTTGTTTTCGCAATAAACATAAAATAATATAGCAAGGCCGAAGAAAAGAAAAGAAATTAATCTTATAGTTGTTTCAATTAAATAAGCTAAAATTATTCCAAGTGTAAAAGCAAACATTTCTTTGTACTTCTTAACTAACTACAATAGCATACTACGACTAAAATGCATCGCCCTCTGGAGAACGAGGATATTTTGAAATAGGCCTCCAGTTCTGGTTTTTATTTCCGCGATACGTAGGCCTGTAGTACAGAACGTCCTGCTTACAACCCATAGCTATTTCTCTCTCTCTCTCTCTCTCTATATATATATATATATATATATGTGTGTGATGTGTATGTGTGTGTGTGCAAACAGCAAAAATGCATCCAAAGAAGCTATATATATATATATATATATATATATATATATATGCACACACAACAACATATATATATATTCAACACCATCACTTGATAAGACACCAGAAGTGTTGAAACAAAAGGACTATTTTTGTAGTGATTTTATAACATTTTCATGTTATAATTTTCGAATAAATGATTATATATATATATGTGTGTGTGTGTGTGTGTGTGTGTGTGTGTGTGTGTGTGTGTATACTTCTTTAGTATAAGGTATTGCATTCGAACATATTTAAACCATTACATCAGTGCAACCATGTTTCGATGCCTGTCATAGCATCTCATCAGGTGGTTTACATATGTTCGAATGTAATATGTTACAATAGAGGATTCTAGCTCTACTCTTGTATTGAGGCCTATTTTAAATTAATGTTTAAATTGATATTCGATTCGTTCCCTTTACATTTGTATATATATATATATATATATATATATATATATATATAACAAAAAATAATTTTAAAACACTATACAAACATATATACTTTATTTACAACGTGACGAACAACTTTCGAGTTGCAGAATAAAAACACTTTGTATCAAGTAAATTATTGTAATATTTAAAACAAAACTCATATGATAAACTAAGATTTCTATGGTATATTTATTATATAAATATACGCAAGACAATGATTTAATGATAAAAGTGGTAAGTGGGTAATCCCCACATATCTCTGCCAGTTCTGTCAAGCCAATATAAAAACGGGACACTTCATTCTCTTTTCTCTCCTTTTCCTCCAAGCATGCTTTAGTGACGTCAACACCGGCACCTTGTTCTCGGGCATGGGAATATTTTTCTACCTCAGTGACTGACACACACACACACACACACACACACGTGTATCACCTACATAATTGCTAACTTTTAATACCTTCTTTCTTCATGCATGCTAACGTATTTTTCTCTCTCTTTATTCAGTTATATAAAAACAAAAATACAAAATATCGCCTTATTGAAATCCTTTCATTTCCTTACACACGTCATTTACTTGTGCAACGTTATCGTTGCCACTGCTTTTCGTCAAATTATAAGTAGTGCCTGCAACAGGTATTAACCAAACAGTACTGAACGAAATTTTCCATATATACATTATTCACCAAGGTGTACGGTTAGTATAACAACATGGAAAGTGGAATCGCTGAGCCGAGTTCAAATTCTGAGTTAGACTTTTGCGTTGGCTTTTAAATAAATCCTTTTGGCCAAAGCAGAAATCTTTCTCTTCTCCTAAAAATGGGTTATTTTATCACTACTGTTTGGTTAATAACACTTTTATCATGAAATCATTGACTTGCATAATGAAATCATACATTATATATATATATATATATATATAT